TTATCAATCTGTAATAAAAGACGTGAGGAAATTCTGTCTTTTTTTAAGACAAAAATTTTTGAGGCGAAATACCCAAAAAGAAGTTTGTAAAAAAACAGAGTTTGGTTGTTCCTTTCTACAGAAGGGATGGCAATCAAAGATTTATAAGAAGTTTAGGTCCAAAAATAGACAATTCTCTCCCACTTAGCGTAAAAGCTGACTCAAACTATAAAATGTTCGCCAAAAAATGTAAGCCGATTATCTACAACAATTATAGGACATATCTTAATTTGCTCTAATTTCTCAACTTTTTATCATAAATAATTTTGCTTCCTTTATATAAACATAGTATTGTTTCTTTTTTTTCTCTGTTTTTTCTTTGCACATACAGGTTGTGTGTGACCTAGGTGCAGCATATGATTTACTTAGCCTAAGAACTGAATATATGATTGATTTATTAAGTGGCTGTAGTACAATTGACTGTTGAATAAATTGAAATTGAATTGAAGTTAGCCATAAAAAATAGTGTAAGGCAGACAGCAGTGTTAATAATAACCTGATCTAATTTAGTTAGAAGTTTAAGTAAGTTTTGTTGTAAAAATGAATTAATTATTCCAATGAATAAAAGCGCGACATGGTGGTTCGGGTTAGCACTTTGAACGTCTATGGTAAGGGTACCTCGTAAAATTCCGGCAGAAAAACAGAATACGTGATTTATTCAATGATACGGAAGGAAGTCGCATTCGGAGTACGCGCTAAAGCAGCGCTAACAGGGATTAGTCATTTTTTTCTTTGATTTTCACACCCCAACGTTTTGTGTGATATTTTTGTTGGCAAGGATCAAGATGCGAGGGGACATTTTGAGCGGTCTCTTTAACTAAAAAATCACTCGCAACATAAAGCAGCAGCCATGAAAAACGTTTAAAGTAGCTAAAAGTATAATATGAAATAAACATACCTCTACACCTAATAATAATGTTGCTACAATTAGGGTGGTGGAAGGTGTTGTGTGGACGATTTGTAAGCATGTTAACTGACTATTTGCTCCCACGTTTGTCGAGAACCCGAAGAACCCGTGGTCGCCCGTTAGACCTGACTAACTAGCGAGCCTTTCTTCAAAACAATAGAAAAGACACCATATTCAGGGTTTTGAGAAATAGGACGTCCTCAAACCGTGTGAAAGTGATTACAACATATGTTATGGATTGGGTTTAATCCACAGTCAGTTGTCGAACGCAACTAGAAAGAAAGTGGTTTCTACAGTGCGAAGGTGGTGATCGGTTTGCAGGTAAATGTGTAAGTGTGAACGGGTAAGCATTTGATCGATTTGTAAAGTGGATCTAAAACCCAAAGCAAATAAGTATGACAAAAAATGCATTCACTCATCCGAACTACGTAGAGTTTTCTGGTACCTACTGGGTTTTTTTACTCTTTATGCGCTTTAAGGAAACAAAAGTATAGTGTTGTCCGCTTCCTTAGCGACAAATTATAATTCTCTATAGCTCAACAATCAGCAGGAAGCTGTAACAATCTGGCCGACATTGTACGAAGCGATTTTAATTTCTAAAACGTGCTCGAGGTGTTGCGTTGAACATGCATTTTCCAATGAACTTTTGCAATTTACACGTTTTACAGCCACTGAAATTTGCTCATTTTGAATACTAAACTCGGTTTATTATTATTTCCCCATTAACATTGGAAAAAATATTATTCGCTGCAAAGCATCTAATTCAAAATAATGTCAATGGTTATTCACTGCGTAGAAAAGCAGTTTTCCTCCATCACCTGCTCAAAAACTAGTTTCGAATTGCATTAAATGATCTGAAGTAGGCACTTAAGTAGACTAATATTACTTTAATTTAGATACTTTTCCTAAACTATTGTCGCAAAGAAGCAACTATTTTGTCTATCGACTGGGACATTTTTTATGTTGCACTTTTTTTCCAATTGAATAGCATCTTTGCGTCACAACTTTGTACGATTACTCTCAATGTGAGTAGGTATAATTTTAATATTTCGAAGTACATAATTCCAAAATATCATGTGCAAAATGTTTGGTTGGTGGGCAAAAGTAAACTCTCTCATCTTGAAAATATATAGGTATCAACTTATGGGCCGCCTGAGACTGTAACCGT